GTTAGGGTTAGGGTTGGGGTTAGGGTTAGGTGGTGTTCCGGTGGTGTTCCGGCGATGTTCCAGCGGTGTTCCGGCGGTGTTCCGGCGGTGTTCCGGCGGTGTTCCGGCGGTGTTCCGGCGGTGTTCCGGCGGTGTTCCGGCGGTGTTCCGGTGGTGTTCCGGTGTTCCGGTAGTCAGTGTTTTACTACATGCCGCAGTATACACTTGTTTTAATTAAGATTTAAGGTTATCCCTCGGTTGTCCCGAGCTAAGCGGAAAAGTCGAATACGAGCGCGAAAGGGTTGAAGATTAAACTTTTCAGTTACAGTTTTAGTAGTTTTGTTCACTCTGTTTTGAACTATATCACCATATATAACACTGCTCTGTCTATTTAGGTGAATACTATGTTATAATATTGTTATTTATATCCCACTGACTTGCATTGTGCCCCAATGCAATCATGCACCCTACTTTATTAGTTTAATGTCCCATACCAGTCGATTTTGCTTGTCAAAGAGAGAGTGCTGCCGCTCTCAAATTGGCTAGGTTTGTATTGCAGGTAGGAGGCTCAGTTTTGAAGTTTCTGTTAATATAATGACCCAGTTCAGGATTTTATACAATCAGACATGCAAATAAAACTTCCGGCGTTTCCACCGGCTAGGATTAAACTGCGCGTTCAAAATAAAATTACGTTCAAAATAAAATATTTTGGGGCTTTTGGGCTCAAAATACTATCAAAATGAAGAGAAAAGTGAGACAAATCCACTGGTATACGGCCGAAAAAGAGAAAACCAACGATACCAAAGTTATCAAGGATCAAACGTACTGCATTTTTATAATTAGTTGAATAGTTTTGAGCGATTCGTTCGCAATACAATTTCGCTTGGATTTTAAAGATAAAGGCCATAAATCGCTAGAATACTGTTGTTTAGTGATACATTTGACACCCGTAAGTACAATTTCTTACGCTGAATCGAACGGTGGTATTTTTTATCTTTATTGCGCCATTAGGCATTGATACAACTTAGTACAAGGTCAAGGACAAACGTAGTACTGCGAGTGAGTGTCAACATGAAAACGCACTGCGAGCGATTTGTAAACAATACAATTTCGCTTGATTTTGAATGGCCATAAATCGCTAGAATACTGTTGTTTAGTAATAGATTTGACATCCGTAAGTACAATTTCTTACGCTGAATCGAACGTTGGTATTTTTATCTTTGTTGCGCCATTAGGCATTACGAAACATTATATTTCACAATACAGTTTTCACCGCGTTTCCACAGCTATTAACTAATAACTATTTAATAGAGACTGTTGTTGGATAAATTTTATATTGATATGACACTAACATGCTTCTCATAAAGTAGTTATCTATTAAAACTACGTGGTGTAGTTTACTGTAAGTTATAACCTTTTACCTTGAAATTGTCTTTGCCTTTGGCTCGTTTATATCCAGATTCAGTATATTATATGAATATTATGATCGTGCATGGGAATTCGACGATCCAAATTTCGGATTTTCAGAGCCGTGCACCAAGAAAAATGCATGAACTAAACTAGCAAGAATGTCTAGAGTTAGACACAATACAAAATCCATAAAAAACAGGTACAATTCGTTAAAAATTTTAACGAAATTTTTTGAAATATTTTGCCCACTCCACGAAAGGCCGCCATTTTGATATTAGGCAGCTCATTAATATTCTATTTTGTGGCTATCGAAGAAAATTGGAGATCCACTATTGCTGATCCACTATTGCTGATCCACTATTGCTGATCCACTAAAAATACGTGCCGAAACCTATACTCGCCAGGGCACAGAGTGCCCCAGCGAGTAAAAAGATGAATGAACTAGAAACAGCTAGTCAAAATGATTTTAACCTTTTCTGGAAAACACTAAAGAACTTGACAGACGACCTTAATACTGAAACTAATTCTGAAAACTCACCAAAAAATCATGAATGGTACTCACATTTTGAACAACTACATTGTGATCACCATCTTAGTGAAGAACAAGAAAAAATTATCGGAAAATTGAAACAGAAGGAAAATTCGAAAAATCTTCTCAATGAGCTTGATACGGAAATAACAATTGAAGAAATAATAAAAACAGCTAAGAAAATAAAATCTAAAAAAGCTGCACACTCAGATAAAATCAACAATGAAATGATAAAATATAGTGTTGATATCCTTGCCAATGGTTTTATAAAAGTATTCAACACAATAATGAAATCCGGAAAGTTCCCAACTTTATGGTGTGAAGGACTTATCTCACCAATTTTTAAATCCGGGAACAAATTAGACCCAAGTAATTACCGAGGAATATGCGTATCAAGCTCGTTAGGAAAGTTCTTCTGCTCTGTCCTCAATGAAAGACTGATGAACATTTCAAAAACTAGAGAATTGTTACACCCTTCTCAAATTGGTTTCCTACCAAATAACAGAACAGCCGATCATATTCTTACCTTAAAAACGTTGCATGATAAATACGTTAATCAAAATAATGAGAAAATTTACGCATGCTTTATTGATTTTAAAAAGGCCTTTGATTCTGTCTGGCATGAAGGTCTTTATTTGAAACTATTAGAAAATGGAATTGGAGCTAGATGCTTCTATGATCTGATAAAGGATCTGTATTCTAATACTCGGTGTGCAGTGAAAGTATCGGGTCATAGAACACCCTTCTTCTCATACAATCGAGGTGTACGCCAAGGTTGTGTTTTAAGCCCCCTTCTCTTTAATCTTTACATAAACGAACTTCCTAATCTATTTGAAAAAGTAAACCCAGACCCATTTCTTTTACCAAATGGAACGAGGCTAAGTAGTCTACTATATGCGGATGATCTTGTCATACTATCAAGATCAAATTCTGGTCTCCAAAATTGTTTAGACTCCCTCAATGAATGGAGAAAAAAATGGCTAATGAATATTAATTTGAAAAAAACCAAAGTTATGATCCTACAAAAACATAACTCTAAACTTCAATCACTCGACTTTTTCTTGGGAGATAAACGTATTGATATCACAAACGAATACACTTATCTCGGTCTAAAACTGACTCCTAACACTAAATTTTTAGTTGCGACTCAGCAACTCAGTGAAAAGGCTATGCATGCCTTATTTAAAATACGGAAAAATCTTGATTTTCAGAAACTTACACCAAAACTTGCCATAAAAATCTTTGATGGCATAGTCTCTCCAATCTTACTTTATAACTCTGAGGTTTGGGGAGCCTATGGTAACAACGATTTTACTAAATGGGACAAAACTGGTACTGAGAAAACACATCTGAAATTCTGCAAACTCTATTTAGGTGTGAACAGGAAAGCGAGCAATGTCGCTAGTAGGGGTGAATTAGGTAAATTCCCTCTGTTAATCCCCATATTCAAAAGATTATTTTCTTACATTAACCATCTTAGTCAATTACCAGATACAAGTATAGCGAAACAAACTTTTTACCTATCAAAAAGACTTTACTCAAACGGCAAAGATTCATTCTATTCTAATGCTGCAAGCATTATTAAAAAGTTTCATCCCGATATCGAAGATACAATAGATATTGAAAAATTTGTTCAGGATACAAACATACACGATTTTGTAAAAACCATTAAAGATAACTACACAACATTTTGGAAAAACCAAATTAAAAACTCTAGTAAATTGTCATTCTATTCTACATTTAAAAACCACTATAACTTAGAAGAATATCTAAATATCATTAAAGACCCTAATCAAAGAAGACTGTTCTCAAAATTTCGTATAAGTAATCATAAACTAGAAATTGAGTTCGGTCGTTATAGCGATGTACCTCGACAGGAGAGACTGTGTAAATACTGCAATAAAATTGCAGTTGAAGATGAATTTCATTTTTCATTTGAATGTGAAAAATATGAGAATTTGCGAAATAACTCGCACAACATCCTAAAAGACTATTTCCATATGAACATCACTGATGAATTAAAGAGAAAATTATTAAGTGATCTTATGTCCTTGAATGACCCTGTGATAACAGATCTATTTTCGGAACATATTTCGAAATGTTTTTATATCAGAGACAACAGCCCTTAAACCAGAAGTCACAAGTTTCTATATATTATATAACTTTCCTTTCCCTTTTTTATATTATCCTCTTTCTAATCCTTTCTTAAATTTTGATATTTGTTCTGTCATATGATGATATATCCTTCATATTTGATATATTATACATGTAAATAGCGGTATATTGTTTTTAGTTAGTTAAAGTAGTTTATACACCAGTTAACATTTATATATACTTACTATTACGCTTAGCAATACCTGTAATTAGGTCATGCAAATAAAGCTTATTAATAATAATAATAATAATACGATGCCTGATATTATTAAATCACTAAAGCTAGAGAATGACAACCTTAAAAAACAAATTGATGCTCTTAAGAAGGATTTTATGAAACTTGAAGAAACGTTGTCGTCGACACTGAAAATCAGCGAAGCATCAAAAGTGGAAAACGTGGGCCATTCAAGTCTTGCAACAAACGTTGAAGTTACCCAAAGTCTAGAGTTTCTTAGCGGCAAGTTTGATGACCTAAATAAACTCCACTTGGAAGTTAATTAAACAAGAAATTCATCGATTTAACTCCCGCCTAGACGGCCTTAGCAAACAAGTCGAAGGCGTAGCAGACGCTATAGACGAGATTCAACGCTACAGCTATCAATATAATGTTAAGATTCTTGGTATTCCTGAGACAAAACAAGATGAATCGTCGTTTGACACTACTGCTCTCTGCGTTGGGCTTTTCAAGGGTATGGGAGTTGATATAAATCATGAAGACATCGATATATCTCACCGCGTGCCAATTAGAAAAGTGTCCATTCACCCGAAGCCGATTATCTGCAAATTTGTGCGAAGAATTTCAAAGGAGCGTGTTATGAGCTTAAAACGAGATGCATGCAAAGTAAACCCAGTCGATGTTGGCCTGCCAGAGAATTCCTCGTTAAATAATGTCAAAATATTCGACCATCTTACACCTAAGACTCAGAGTATTCTCTTTGAAGCAAAGAAATGTAAAGACCAACACAATTACAGCTTTTGCTGGACAAAGAATTCCACAGTTTATCTTAGAAAATCCGAAGATTCAAGACCAATAATAGCATTTTTAAACGATAACTCCTTTAATAAATTAATTTATGAACAAACCCACGGTACTTTAAAATTTGATGAAGACCGACTGGAATTACTGCTTTTTAACCCTATAGATCAACCTAAGTCAAATGACGTTTTTTCTAGTTATCTTGATCCAGATCTAAATGCTTTCCAACACTCTGCGAGTAATTACATGGTTGAAGACGAATTAAACACAAAATTAGACGACAATAACAATAGTTTTTCTCTGTTGCACTTAAACGCGCGTAGTCTGCTTGGAAATTTGGACAAATTTTATTATCAAACATAAAAAAAGCTTTTTCAGTTATTGGAATAACTGAAAAGTGGCTACATGATCAAACATATGATTTAGTTGATATTTCTGGTTATAAATTCGTCTCCAATCATCGTACTACAAAACTCGGTGGTGGACTAATAATATAGTGCGAAATTAAATTCTAAATTGTTTACCTTTTTATCCTTTCTCCGCGCTATCAGACGTTCGACTTCAAACACGCCAACTATCCGAGGTTTCATCTTTTTCTTTTTTCGTCTAAAAGGATATCCACCGAACTTAAATTGTGGAGAATACTGTATAGAACAGAGCATTTCGCAGAAGTTCGAGTCGCCATTTTGTTTTATGAATACTATTATCAAGTGATTAACTGCTGACCGAACGCGGCCGAAAAATGTCCCATATTTTTGGTAATGAGTAGGGCTTTATCTACAAAACAGCCTTGAGTACAAATTATGTTCAAAATGCAATTACACAAATCCGGTTTGATTGAATCTATTTTTGTGGAGATTTGCATACCAAATGGGAAAAACATTTTTGTAGACACAGTTTACCGACCACCCAATCAAAACATAGCGGCTTTCTTAGAAAAATTCAATAAAATAATCTCTATTATCTCAAAAGATAATAAACCATGTTATGTAATGGGGGATTTCAATTTGGATTTGTTTCATTATAATCATCACGCACTTACTCAAGAATTCGTTGACAACCTATTCTCGCACATGTTCTTCCCTCTAATTACCAAACCTACCCGACTAACTTCGCACTCTGCAACATTACTCGATAATATATTCACTAATAATCCGACAAGAAAAATACTAAACGGTATTCTTCTTAACGACATTTCAGATCACCTGCCTGTATTTGCATATATTTACAATGGTCCCCTACTCCACTATCGTTTTAAGAAAACGATAAAGCGTAATTTTAGCGAATCAAACTGATCTAAATTTCAATCTTTTTTAACACAAACAAACTGGTCAAATAACCTATCTAAACAGGATCTAATAAAGCTTGTAACACTTTTTTGGCGGAATACACTAAATTTTATGAATTATGTTTTCCTATTATAACTATAAAAGGAAACCAGCGCAAAAAAAATTAACAACCCTTGGATTACAAAGGGGTTATTGAAATCAATCTGAAAAAAGAATAGATTGCATGTATAAAATATTTTTAAAAAACCCCGATTTTATACGTGAATTACACTATAAGAAATATAGAAATAAGCTACTCAACCACCATATAAAAAATGCCAAGCGCTTGTACCATGAAAAAAATTTGAATATGCAAAAAACGATTTAAAAGTAACTTGGAATCTCTTAAATGAGGTTATAAACAATAAAAAAAGTAAATCGTCTTTGCCATTGTCTTTCAAAATTGATGATAAATTAACCTCGGATCCAATGGACATTGCTAATGGATTTTGCAAATATTTTACCAACATCGGACCAAATTTGGCAAATAAAATACCCATGACCAATACTTCCTTTTCTTCATTTTTGACTGACAACACAAATTATTCCATGAATGTTTTGAAACCCACTAGTACAGCTGAACTAGAAGAAATTTGCCAGAATTTTAAATCTCAGAAGGCGCCAGGTTCTGACAATTTGTCAATGCATGTGATAAAGAGTTCTTTTAGTTTAATATCGGAACCATTGAAGGATATCATTAACCTTTCATTTGCCAAAGGGGTGTTTCCGGACAAATTGAAAATAGCTAAAATTATCCCCATATATAATGCGGAAGATCCTGAAAAATTTACTAATTATAGGCTAATATCACTTCTTTCAAATCTTGCGAAATTTTTTGAGAAAGTATCGCATAATCGTTTAATAGAACTTCTGCAATACGTAACATTTAATAACCAGGAATCTCCCAAACAGGCAATGGTAAGTGGCATTCCACAGGGAAGTTCGCTGGGTCCATTACTGTTTTTAATTAATATTAATAACATATCAAATTGTTCAGACAAAGTATCTATTAGAATATTTGCCGACGATACTAATATAAAGCTTTGCCTCCTCCAACTCAATTAAAGATCTTGAAATATTAATAAATGAAGAGCTTACCACAGTAAAAAAATGGTGCGATTTGAATAAGCTCTCTATAAATATAAAGAAAACTAATTATATGATAGTCAAATCTTCCAATAAAAAAATCACCGAAAATATAAATATTAAGATAACAAATAAAGATGGAACAATTTATTGCCTTGAAAGAAAATATCATATTAAGTATTTAGGAGTGTTAACTGACGAAAAACTCTCATGGAAATATCATATAGCGTATATTTGTTCTAGATTGGCTCGCAATATTGGTATCTTTTACAAATTAAGACATTATAAGACTTTAGCTTAACTTAAAGGGTATGGGCAATGAAAATTGCTTCATCTATCTTATTGCTTCGTCTGAAAGAGCATGAAAAAATAAGCCGATTGGCCGTTTAATGCTCTATTCTATCTCATCCAGTTCCGAAGTTATACGCAAAAATGTGCAAAATATAAATTGCTGATTCAGCACAACGTGTGATGTCATTAGCTGGGTAAGTATGTTTATTGAATATTACACTGAAGCATAGCTCAGTTATTAAGGGCCCAAATCAAATGAAATTTTGGATACTGATTGTACATGATGAGACGCATGGAAAAACACTTCTAATTTTGTTGCCAAGGTAACAATGTCGTTCCCAGGCCCCTTGCGCCAATTTTATAAAACAGCTTTATTCAAGGTACTGATAAAATAAAATAAAATAATATCAGAAGTATGTGTACGATACCTATGCATGCCGAAAGTTTACTTGCATAATAATAATTCGAAAATGACATACACATAGAGAAATGCAACTAGTTATTCAAAATCAGTGTAAGGGGCCTGGGAACGACTGTGTTGCCTTGACAACGAAATTAGAAGTATTTTCCCATGCGTGTCATCATGTACTATCTATATGCAAAATTTCATTTGATTTGAGCCAATAATAACTCAGCTATGCTTTAGTTTACTATTCAATAAACATACTTACCCAGCTTATGACGTCACACATTGTGCTGAATCAGCAATTTATATTTTGCACATTTTTGCGTATAACTTCGGAACCAGATGAGATAGAATAGAGCAGTAAACGGCCAATCGGCTTATTTTTTCATGCTTTTTCAGATGAAGCAATAAGATAGATGAAGCAATTTTCATTGCCCATACCCTTATTTACCCGTACATATCATATGCCATATTGACATGGGGAAGTACCTATAAAACGCAAATAAAAACGTTCAAATAAAACAGCATACAGTAATAAGGGTTATATTCTTTGCTATAACGTATGGACAGAATACAGAAAGTGCCTTTCCGTTTATGTGATTATTAGATATTCTCGATGTCGAATCACTATGTAAATTGCAAATTCTTAAGTTTGCTTATTTATGGCAAAGAAATGAATTACCGGATTTTTTCATGACTATTTTCAGTTTGCTTGTGATGTCCATTCATATAATACGAGGTATGCCACCAGAAAGAATTTTTATAAACCTCGAACTAGAATTAATATTGGAAAACAGTCTGTATCTTCCATAGCGGTTGATCTCTGGCAAGAGTTACCTTGTCACCTAAAAGATCTCCCAAATTTCTCGTTTTCAAGAAAAGTAAAACAATTTTTGCTAAAAAAGAATTAAGAAAAATATAGCAATTAGGCTATTGACTGCCAAAGTTTGTTTTTGTATTCTCTGTGTGAGTGTTGTATATTGTGTCGCTGCAATAATTTTATTATCTTACTATAGCTGGAGCTAACTAGAAAACTTTAGTTTACTTAGCTTCTAGTCACCTTAGCAAATATTTGATCCTCTTTCTCTTTGAATGAATATATGTCTGGACTATCAAAATATCAATTGTAATTAACTAAATGAGGTGAATAAAAATTATTATTATTATTATTCTGAAGCAGTATGAGATCCTCTATCGTCATCAATTTGGCTTTCGAAAAAATCATTCTACCTCGCACGCATTAATTCACCTGGTTAATAAAATAGCATCTTCTATTGACAGAAACGAAATTACAGCTGATATATTTTTAGATTTATCAAAGGCATTTGACACAATATATCACGATATTTTGTTTGCTAAACTGGAACATTATGGGATACGTGGCACAGCCTTACAATGGATCAAAAATTATTTTTCCAAACGCCCACAGTTTGTGCAATTTAATGAAACCCAATCTTCAATGCTAACTATTAAATGTG